GTCACGCCTGTAATCCCACCAGTTTGGGAGGCCAAGGTGGGTGGATCACAAGGTCAGGAGTTCAAGATCAGCCTGACCAATATGGTGAAACCCTATCTCTACTAAAAGTACAAAAAATTAGCCCCGCAGGGTGGCCTGTGCTTGTAACCCGAGCTACTTGGGAGGCTGAGACAGGAAAATCGTTTGATACAGGGAGGCGGAGGTTGCAGTGCCAGACTCCATTTCCGAAAAAATAAAATAAATTTATACCTAGTCAAATTTAGATATTCAGGTGATGAAGTTTGACAGCTTTTCATGATCTTGTCCTTTTCTCACAGTTTTATTGTTTTAAATTCAGCTCTTAAGAATCACAAGCAGGAAACTCAGACATGTCAGTTTCATTTTAACTACTAATTGAATTGAATCTGATTAATTAGTTTGAGTGTAATCAAATCACTATTCCTGTAACTTTAAAGAAACATATTTCCTGTTCAGCCCAGAGTAATTTAGGCATTGTCAGTCCAGGCAATCGTCTTAGCCAGTGTTGAAAGAGAATAAAACCAGTATTACTTTGAAAGTTCAAAATAAAAGAGCTTTTTTTTTTTTTAAGATGGGGTTTCACCATGTTGGTCAGGCTAGTCTTGAACTCCTGACCTCAGGTGATCTGCCCACCTTGGCCTCCAAAGTGCTTGGATTACAGGTGTGAGCCACCACGCCCGGCCAGAGCTTTTTTTTTTTTTTTTTTTTTAACTTTTCAGGCTGCATGAACTCCTTTCTCATGAATGAGAACTTAAGAATTCATTTAAATAATTATAGTTAAATATATAAATACAAATGTGATTATTTTCAGAAGTTGATTTATCTGAGTGATAATTTTTTTGTTGCATACCTTAACCCAGTCATGATGAAAAAATTACATGCTTTTTCTTTTTCAAGCTATTATCTGTTGATTTTGATGGTTTTGTTGAAAAGCTACATGGTGTTTTAATATCTGCCTTTTTCTGATTATTTGACAATTTCTAATTTTTATTGAATGTTAACAATATGATATTCTGTGGACATCCACTGTTCGTTAGCTAGATAATACATCTGATGGGTGAGGAGGCAGAGAATTCCCCAGAGACAGACCAAGGAATGGAGAGTGACTGCTTAATTGGTATGGTGTTTCTTTTGGGAATGATAAAATGTTCTGGAATTAGATAGTGGTTATGGTTTCACAACATTGTGAATGTACTAAAACCACTGAATTGTACACTTTACAGTAATTAAGATGGTTTGTTTTATCTGAAAAAATTTATTGTGATTTTTAAATTGTAGTATTTCAGGGAGGAATACCTAAAACATGTGGAATACTGCTATTCTGGATATTTAAAACTCATCCTGGAATTACAACAATGTGCAACATTCTTAACTCTCTTATTTAGCTGCCAAAATGCCCAAGCAATATGCCATTGACAAATTCTGAAAGATGTTAAAGAAATTATCCTACAAAACACATTGAATTTATTGCTGGAGTGTCTTTGACACCTCAGTAGAATGACATTCCTCAGGTTCCAGTAATAAAAAACTGTCCTTCTTTCAAGAAAACGATTTATTTTTACCTCATGAATACTGTAAGTGATATAAACAAATAAAAGCTGTATATGACTGCCATTTCTTCTTTGCACGGATGACCAGGAAACTGAAAGCCATATATTTATAGGTCCCTCAATAACAAAGGTTACAGAGTCTTGTTGAATGTATTTTTTTTCTTTCTTTCGAGACTGAGTCTTGTTCTGTTGCTTAGGCCGGAGTGCAGTGGTGCAATCTCAGCTCACTGCAACCTCCATCTCCTGGGTTTAAGCGATTCTCCTGCCTCAGCCTCCTGAATAGCTGGGACTACAGGCGCACACCACTGCGCCCAGCTAATTTTTGTTTTTTTAGTAGAAACAAAGTCTCTTCACGTTGGCCATGCTGGTGTCAAACTCCTGACCTCAGGTGATCCACTCGCCTCTGCCTCCCAGAGTGCTGGGATTATAGACATGAGCCACCTTGCCTAGCCCCTGAATGCATTTTTAATTCCACCCTTATTCTTAACCTCATCTTATTTTTCTCTTTTCATTTCCTTAATTTGCGTTTTATTTTGTATACGATGTATCTTAGTGTATTACCTCACATCTTATTTTAGAACAGTAAAGGATATACAAATACAAGATCCTTTTAAACCAAGGCTCTTATAATTAGAAGGGGGAAAAGTTAAAAATGCAAATATGTGTTTGAGTAATGTATCTATGTAAATTTACATAAATTTAAATTAGTAGTCTTTATAATGGTCAAATTCTTAACTTTTTAAGGAGGCAAGAGAACAAGTGGCAAACGTTAAATAAGCAAAGGGAAGGGAACTCTGGAGATGATGAAAAGTTATATAAATGATTGATATGTGAATGGCCTCCTATTGTCAGTGGTAAATTATAGAATTCAAGAATACTGAAAATTCAAAAATGGAAATGGGTCAATAACTGCAGAGGGAGAAGGGGAAGCACAGTGGAGATGTTTTCTTAAATTGGTGGCTTTGCTGTTTGTCTAATGTTGATTCAGTCTAAATCCAACTGTGATTAATCAAATCAAAGGCTGTACATGACATTTTTATACTGTGCATTTGCATGTATCTAGCTTAGAAGGACATTGCTGTCACATCATAAGATATGTCAACATTGCTTTATGTAATATTTTTAACATGGCAGCCTATTACAAAATACTATTGTTTCTAAATGATTTTTTAAATTATCTACATGTAGTATTTCCCTTCATGATTTTTAATATAGTTTCTATATAATTATTCAATTAGTTTCATTTCTTTTATTTATTACCTTTGTATTTCCAGCAGCAAGGACAGATTTAATATATATATATATATATATATATATATATATATATATATATATTTTTTAGATGGAGTCACACTCTGTTGCCCAGCTGGAGTTAAGTGGATCAATCTGGGCTCACTGCAGCACCCCCTCCCGGGTTCAAGCAATTCTGTCCCAGCCAACCAAGGCCCGGCAAATTTTTGTATTTCTAGTAGAGATGGGGTTTCACCATATTGATCAGGCTGTTCTTGAACTCCCGACCTTGTAATCTGCCCACCTTGGCCTCCCAAAGTGCTGGGATTACAGGCGTGAGCCATCGCCCCCAGCCTTAAACACTTATTAGATGCTTAGTAATCACTGATTTTGCTTCTGAAATTTTTGCCATAATCATTTTTTCTCTCTAGATCATCTCATCAGTATATGTGTTATACTGTCTCACATTTTAACACAAAAATAACTTTGAAGACTCTTCCAGGTATAGTACCATTTATACTACCCTTCATAGCAAAACTCGGTCAGAGTTGTCCCTATATGCTGCTTTCATATCCTCATCTCATTTTCTCTGCTTTTTACCGTTTTCATTCTTTTGTCCTTACCACTTCACTAACAACATTCTTGTCATGGACACCAGTGAAATTTATCTTGCGGCTAGTGCAGTGGCTCATACCTGTAATCCCAGCAGTTTGGGAGACTGAGGCAGGCACATCACCTGAGGGAGTTTGACACCAGCTTGGCCAACGTGATAAAACCCTGTCTCTACAAAAAAATACAAAAGTTAGCTGGGTGTGGTGGTGCATATTACTAATCCTAGCTACTTAGGAGGCTGAGACAGGAGAATTGCTTGAACCCTGGAGGTGGAGGTTGCACTGAGCCAAGATCGTGCCACTTCACTCCAGGCTGGGCGACAAAGTGAGACTCTGTCACAAAAAATAATTTATCTTGCTAAATCCTCAGGCCTCATGTTGTTTTCCCTGAAGCATTTGTCACAAAATATTTCATGTTGTCTTTCCTGAAACTCTTCCCTTGGGTACTTAACTTTGTCAAGATCAAACTCTTGATTTCTTGCTACTGTTACCACTACCACCACCAGCTATCCTATTCCTATCCCATTGTTTTTTATCTCAACATTTGGCAATGTCGTTTACCCAGCTGATCTGATCAAAACCTTGGAATCATCCTTAATTATGCTGTTTTTTCTCATTTAGTCTATCGGCAACCAAATATCAAAAATATCACTTCTCTCACCACCAATGTAGCTACCATGGTAGTCATCGTATTTCTACCTGAGTCACTACAGTTGCTCAACTGGACACTGTATTTTGATTCTCCTTTCTCTTCCACATCCCCAAGATTATTCCATATACAGTGACTAGAGTATTGTTGTGTTTTTTAAAATCAAATAACATCATTTCCTTAGTCATAATATCCCATATGGCTTTCGGCACATGTGGAATAACATCTAGAGTATTTACTGTTGCTTTCCAGGCCCTCAGTAGTCTCTGCCTTGCTCTCCTACCCCCGATCTTATTCTGTATGAGCCCTGGCCATTCTTGTCTTTTTTTTAAAAAAAAAAACACCAGGCCTTCTCACCTCAGGGCCTTGGCACTTGCTATTCTATCTGGTTACTTGATTCTCAGGGTAATTATCTTCTCAGAGATTTCTCCTTGCCATCATTTCATCTCTTTACTCTTCAGTGTAGTACTTATCACTATAAAAAGGATACAGTTTGTAAAAATGATATTGTAGGTCTCTACTGTTAGAATGTAAATTCTACGAAGCAGAGACTTTGTCTTGTTCACTGCTGTATTCCCAGGTCTAACACAGTACCTGCCACATAGAAGTCAATTGACGAATCATTCTTTTTTCTTTATTGTTTTTATTATTTTTTTCTTAAATTGCATTTTAGGTTTTGCAGTACATGTGAAGAACAGGCAAGATAGCTGCATAGGTACACACGTGGCAGTGTGATTTGCTGCCTTCCTTCCCTTCACCTAATTTCTGGCATTTCTTCCCATGGTATCTCTCCCAAACTCCCCACCCCCCGCTGTCCCTCCCCTATTCCCCCCAACAGACCCCAGTGTGTAGTGCTCCCCTCCCTGTGTCCATGTGTTCTCATTGTTCAACACCCACCTATGAGTGAGAACATGCAGTATTTAATTTTCTGTTCTTGTGTCAGTTTGCTGAGAATAATGGTCTCCAGGTTCATCCATGTCCCTACAAAGGAAATGAACTCATCGTTTTTGATGACTGCTTAATATTCCATGGTATATATGTACCACATTTTCCCAGTCCAGTCTATCATCGATGAGAATTTGGATTGGTTCCAGGTCTTTGCTATTGTAAACAGTGCTGCAGTGAACATTCATGTGCATATGTCCTTATAGTAGAATGATTTATAGCCCTTTGGATATATACCCAGTAATAGGATTGCTGGGTCAAGTGGAATTTCTATTTCTAGGTCCTTGAGGAATTACCACATTGTCTTCCACAATGGTTGAACTAATTTACACTCACACCAACAGTGTAAAAGTGTTCCTATTTCTCCATATCCTCTCCAGCATCTGTTGTCTCCAGATTTTTTAATGATCGCCATTCTAACTGGCGTGAGATGGTATCTCAATGTGGTTTTGATTTGCATCTCTGTGATGACCAGTGATGATGAGCATTTTTTCATATGTTTATTGGCCTCATATATGTCTTCTTTTGTAAAGTGTCTGTTCATATCCTTTGCCCACTTTTGAATGGGCTTGTTTTTTTTTCTTGTAAATCTGTTTGAGTTCTTTGTAAATTCTGGGTATCAGTCAGCCATTTGTCAGATGGGTAGATTGCAAACATTTTTTCCCATTCTGTTGGTTGCCAATTCACTCTAATGACTGTTTCTTTTGCCATGCAGAAGCTGTGGAGTTTGATTAGGTCCCATTTGTCTATTTTGGCTTTTGTTGCCAATGCTTTTGGTGTTTTGGTCATGAAGTCCTTGCTTACTTCTATGTCCTGAATGGTTTTGCCCAGGTTTTCTTCTAGGGTTTTTATGGTGTTAGGTCTTATGGTTAAGTTTTTAATCCATCTGGAGTTAATTTTAGTGTAAGGTGTCAGGAAGGGGTCCAGTTTCTGCTTTCTGCACATAGCTGGCCAGTTTTCCCAACACCATTTATTAAACAGGGAATCCTTCTCCATTGCTTGTTTTTGTCAGGTTTGTCAAAGATTGGATGGTTGTAGATATGTTGTGTTGCCTCTGAGGTCTCTGTTCTGTTCCATTGGTCTATATCTCTGTTTTGGTACCAGTTCCATGCTGTTTTGATTACTGTAGCCTTGTAGTATAGTTTGAAGTCTGGTAATGTGATGCCTCCTGCTGTGTTCTTTTTGCTTAGAATTGACTTGGCTATGCGGGCTCTCTTTTGGTTCCATATGAAGTTTAAGGTGTTTTTTTCCAGTTCTGTGAAGAAAGTCAATGGTAGCTTGATGGGGATAGCATTGAATCTATAAATTACTTTGGCAATATGGCCATTTTCACGATATTGATTCTTCCTAACCATGAACATGGAATGTTTCTCCATCTGTTTGTGTCCTCTCTTATTTCATTGAGCAATGGTTTGTAGTTCTCCTTGAAGAGGTCCTTTATGTTCCTTGTTAGTTGTATTCCTAGGTATTTTATTCTCTTGGTAGCAATTGCGAATGGCAGTTCATTCTTGATTTGGCTCTCTTTAAGTCTCTTATTGGTGTATAGAAATGCTTGTGATTTTTGCTCATTGATTTTGTATCCTGAGACTTTGCTAAGTTGCTTATCAGTTTCAGGAGACTTTGGGCTTAGATGATGGGGTCTTCTAGATATACTATCATGTTGTCTGCAAATAGAGACAGTTTGGCTTCCTCCTTTCCTATTTGAATACCCTTTATTTCTTTTTCTTGCCTGATTGCTGTGGCTAGAACTTCCAGTACTATATTGAAAAGGAGTGGTGAGAGAGGGCATCCTTGTCTAGTGCTAGATTTCAAAGAGAATGCTTCCAGTTTTTGCCCATTCAATATGATATTGTCTGTTGGTTTGTCGTAAATAGCTTTTATTATTTTGAGATACGTTCCATCAATACCTAGTTTATTGAGGGTTTTTAGCATAAAGGGCTGTTGAATTTTGTCAGAGGCCCTCTCTGCATCAGTTGAGATAATCATGTGGTTTTTGTCTTTGGTTCTGTTTATGAGGTGAATTATGTTTATAGACTTGCGTTGTTGAACCAGCCTTGCATCCCCGCAATGAATCCTACTTGATCATGGTGGATAAGCTTTTTGATGTGCTGTTGCAATTGGCTTGCCAGTATTTTATTGAAGAGTTTTGCTTCTATGTTCATCATGGATATTGGCCTGAAGTTTGCTTTTCTTGTTGAGTCTGTTGGGTTTTGGTATCAGGATAATGTTGGTCTCATAAAATGATTTGGGAAGGATTCCCTCTTTTTGAATTATTTGTAATAGTTTCAGAAGGAGTGGTACCAGCTCTTCTTTGTGTGTCTGGTAGAATTTGGCTGGACCTGGGCTTTTTTAATGTGGTAGGCTCTTAATTGCTACCTCAACTTCAGATCTTGTTATTGGTCTATTCACGAATTCGACTTCTTCCTGGTTTAGGCTTGAGAGGAGGCAAGTGTTCAGGAAATTATCCATTTCTTCCAGGTTTACTAGTTTATGTGCATAGAGTTGTTTGTAATATTCTCCGATGATGGTTTGAATTTCTGTGAGATCTGTGGTGATTTCCCCTTTATGGTTTTTTTATTGCATCTGTTTGGTTATTCTCTCTTTTCTTTTTTATTAATCTGGCTAGTGGTCTGTCTATTTTGCTGATCTTTTCGAAAAGCCAGCTCCTGAATTTATTGATTTTTTGAAGGGCTTTTTGTGTCTCTATCTCCTTCAGTTCTGCTCTGATATTTCTTGTCTTCTGCTAGGTTTTGAGTTTTTTTATCTTGTTCCTCTAGCTCTTTCAATTTTGATGATAGGGTGTCAATTTTGGATATCTCCACTCTTCTCATATGGGCACTTATTGCTATATATTTTCCTCTAGAGACTGCTTTAAATGTGTCCCAGAGATTCTGGTATGTTGTGTCTTCGTTCTCATTGGTTTCGAAGAATTTCTTTATTTCTGCCTTCATTTTATTGTTTATCCAGTCAACATTCAAGAGCCAGTTGTTCAGTTTCCATGAAGCTGTGCGGTTCTGAGTTAGTTTCTGAATTCTGAGTTCTAACTTGATTGCACTGTGGTCTGAGAGACTGTTTGTTATGATTTCCATTCTTTTGCATTTGCTGAGGAGTGATTTACTTTCAATTATGTGGTCAATTTTAGAGTAGGTGTGATGTGGTGCTGAGAAGAATGTATATTCTGTGGATTTGGGATGGAGAGTTCTATAAATGTCTATTAGGTTTGCTTGTTCCAAGTCTGAGTTCAAGTCCTGGATATCCTTGTTAATTTTCTGTCTGGTTGATCTGTCTAATATTGACAATGGGGTGTTAAAGTCTCCCACTATTATTGTGTGGGAGTCTAAGTCCCTTTGTAAGTCATTAAGAACTTGCCTTATATATCTGGGTGCTCCTGCATTGGGTGCGTATATATTTAGGATCATTAGCTCTTCTTGTTGCATCGGTCCTTTTACCATTATGTAATGTCCTTCTTTGTCCTTTTGATCTTTGTTGGTTTAAAGTCTGTTTCATCAGAGATGAGAACTGCAACTCCTGCTTTTTTTTTTTGGCTTTTTATTTGCTTGGTAAATCTTTCGCCATCCCCTTATCTTGAGCCTTTGCTTATCCTTGTATGTGAGATGGGTTTCCTGGTTACAGCACACTGATGGGTTTTGGCTTTTTATGCAATTTGCCAGTCTGTTTCTTTTGATTGGGGCATTTTGTCCATTTACATTTAGAGTTAATATTGTTATGTATGAATTTGATACTGCCATTTTGATGCTAGCTGGCCGTTTTGCCCGTTAGTTGATGCAGTTTCTTCATTGTGTTGATACTCTTTACCATTTGGTATTTTTTTGGAGTGACTGGTACTGGTTGTTCCTTTCTATGTGTAGTGCTTCTTTCAGGAGCTCTTGTAAAGCAGGCCTCGTGGTGACAAAACCTCTGAGTACTTGCTTGTTCACAGAGAATTTAATTTTTCTTTCATTTATGAAGCTTAGTTTGGCTGGATATGAAATTCTGGTTTGAAAATTCTTTTCTTTAAGGATGTTGAATATCGGCCCCCACTCTCTTCTGGCTTGTAGGGTTTCTGCTGAGAGATCTGCTGTGAGTCTGATGGGCTTCCCTTTGTGGGTAACCCGAGCTTGTTTCTGCCTGCCCTTAGCATTTTCTCCTTCATTTCAAGCCCGGTGAATCTGACAATTAAGTGCCTTGGGATTGCTCTTCTTGAGGAATATCTTTGTGGTGTTCTCTGTATTTCCTGGACTTGAATATTGGCCTGTCTTGCTAGGTTGTGGAAGTTTTCCTGGATAATATCCTGAAGAGTATTTTCCAGCTTGGATTCATTGTTTGTCATATTCAGGTACAACTATCAGACTTAGATTAGGTCTCTTCACATAGTCCCATATTTCTTGGAGACTTTGTTCATTCTTTTTTATGCTTTTTTCTCTAATCTCGCCTTCTCATTTTATTTCATTGAGTTGTTCCTCGACCTTTGATATCCTTTCTTCTGCTTGGTCAATTAGGCTGTTGAAACTTGTGCATGCTTCACGAAGTTCTCGTGTTGTGTTTCTCAGCTCCATGAATTTACTTATATTCCTCTCTAAGTTGTCCATTCTCATTAGCATTTCATCAAATCTTTTTTCAACATTTTTAGTTTCTTTGCATTGGGTTAGAACATGTTCTTTTAACTCACAGAAGTTTCTCATTACCCACCTTCCGAAGTCTGATTCTGTCATTTCATCACAATCATTCTCCATCCAGCCTTGTTTCCTTGCTGGTGAGGAGTTGTGATCCCTTGTAGGAGGAGAGGTGTTCTGGTTTCAGGTGTTTTCCTCCTTTTTGCACTGGTTTCTTCCCATCTTTGTAGGTGCTGATTTTCATATTGGGTCTCTGAGTGGATGTCCAGTTGATGATGAAGTTATTTCTGTTTCTCTTTTTTTTTTTCTAACAGTCTGGCCCCTCTGCTGTAGGACTGCTGAGGTCCACTCCAGGCTCTGCTTGCTTGGGGATCACCTGCAGCAGCTGCAGAACAGTAAGGGTTGCTACCAGTTTCTTCTTCTGCTATTTTTGTCCCAGAATGATGCCTGCCATTGTCAGTCTGATCAGTCCTTTGTGAGGTGACTTTTTGGATATACGGGGGTCAGGTAGCTGCTTGAGGAGACAGTCTATTTTTAAAGGAGCTCAAGTGGTGAGCTGTGAGCTCCGTTGTTCAGAGCTGCTGGGTTGGTACGTTTAAGTCTGCTGCAGCAGAACTCATAAACCCCTTTTTTTCCCTAGGTGCTCTGTCCCGGGGAGTTAGGGCTTTATTTATGAGTTTCCGTTGTGCTGCTGCTTTTTTTTTCAGGGCTGCCCTGCTCAGCAAGGAGGGAGCCTCGTCACTGTCTGCCTGCAGAGGCTTTGCTGTGCTGCTGTGGGCTCTGCCCTGCTGCCGTGTGAACTTCCCTGCAGTCTGTTTATATGGGTGTGGTTAGAACTGCCTTCACAATGGTGGCCCACCTCTGTAATGGACTCTCTCTGAAGTGGCAGGTTGCCTCAGCAATGGCAGACTACCTCCATAAGGGTGGATTGTCTTGGTAATGGTGGATGCCCCTCCCCCACAGACCTGGGCCGTCCCGGGTTCAGCTGTGCTTGCCCTGAAACTCTCAACCCAGGGTGTTTCCAGTTGCTGTTTTTTTTTTTTTTTTTTTTATGGGGGTGGGACCTGCTGAGCCTGATCATGTGGCTCTCTCCCTCAGAGCCTTTTTTTTTTTTTAAGTTGAACGGTTGACTCTCTTCCAGGCATTCCAGTCGCCTGCTGAAAAGACACTGGGATCTGTGTGATTTCCCATTTGGCAACCCACTGCGCCATCTGAAACAACGGTGCTGCCCAGGAATTTCCTTTCCTGGCTCCCTTTTTCTGTGCCCTGTTTAATCAGATGAATGGGCGACTCTGCCTTCCTGGAGCTCCAATCGCCAATTTAAAAGGGCAACCAGACCAGTGTATTTTGTAAGGAGAACCGCTATGCCATGGTGCCAGCAAAATAGCCACACTGGCCAAAATAGCCACACTGGTGACCTGTTGTGCTCCTCTGCCTGGGAATCTCCTGGTCTGTCAGCAAGTGTCTGGAAATGCTGGTCCACTCACCCTCTGCACTTTCACTGGGAACTGCAATTCTGAGCTGCTCCTAAACTGTCGTCTTGGATCTTCCGTGATGAATCATTCTTTTGTTCATTCAGTAAATATTTAATTCATGTTTTAATGAGTGAATCAGAAAATGTTAAAATTGGCTTGTGATTCATATTCTGATTTTCATACTTGTTAAATTTTTTTATTATAAAATATACATAACATTAAGTTTATCATTTTAGCCATTTTAAAGTGTATTCAGTGACATCAAGTACATGCATTCATATTGTTGTACAACCATTATTTTTTCATCTTCCAAAACTGAAACTTTGTACCCATTAAATAATAATTCTCACTCTTCCTTTCCCAGTCCCTGACAATTATCATTTTGCTTTCTGTCTCTATGAATTTGACTATTCTGAGTACTGCATATATGTAGAATCATATTGTATTTGTCTTTTTGTGACTGGCTTATTCTACTTAGCATAATGTCTTTAAGGTTTGTGCATGTTGTTGCTGTTAAATATTTTTAAGTGGCATTTTTTCTCCAAGTACATGTAAATTAATTTTATATATGCCTTACATCTCAGTCATCTGTGACTCTCAAAAAATTTTATGAATGTAATTAACTAAACTTTACAGTATCCCTTGTGAAGTTGATAATTATGGTATTACAAACTGAAGAAGTACTGATAGATTGCCTAAGGTACATAATGAATATATGCCAAAATTCTAAGGACGGACCAGGGTTATGTAGTCTCTGTTGAAAGCATTAGACCAAATTTTTTGTTTGTCATGAAAGTATTATAAGTTCCAGGAAAAACCAAGAGCAGTAATCGTTATTTAATTTTTCTAAATATTTATAGCAATGTTCTTTGAGTAAAAAAGAGTAAAATACAAATTTTCTGAAACTTTGTATTTATTAATTGTAACTTTAGTTATTTGTCCTAACTGAATATTTCTTTGACCTCTATTATTAGATTGTATGGTTATTTTTCTAGTCTTCACAGCCATAGTCTGAAATTGATTTTTGAAAGTATGGGTTAGAATAGCATCATGTCTGTTTTTTAGGTATGGTGCTTGAAAACTTTATAAAACTAGTGCCTATGTTTGTCTAGATTCCTGGCTTATTTAAGTGATTTAAAAAAAAATATCTTGTGAGAGTCAAATTATCTGTCAATTTGGCACTTGTAGACAGAACCAAAATGGACTCTAATTTTGATATAAAACACCAAAAACTTCTATAATCAGACAATGTGTCTTAATATTAATTTCTAAATGCTTAATCCAAAGCTCTCTGTGGGTTGTTACAATTTGAATTGAATTCCCTGAAATCTTGTAGTTAGAGAAATAAAAGTATATATAACTAAAGCAACACATAATTTTTCTCAAATGAAACTTCATTGTATTACTTCACCCAAGTCATTGGTTCACTTTTGGATATTGTGTATACATTAACCTCAAGAATGTTTCAATAGCAGTTGGCAATGCCTCCTTCCTCTACTGGAAGCTTGTTTATGGTTCTAAAGTGGAAACTTAAGAGGGAGTGAGTAAGGATGTTGAGAAGCACTAATCAGTGTTGAAAGAATACAGTGGTAAAGTGTAGAAAAACAGGCAGCTTGTGTGTGTGTGTGTGTGTGTGTGTGTGTGTGTGTGTGTGTGTTTAATTTACCAAGTCTAATAGCCAGTTGTGCTTTGTTTGCATGTTTTTTTTTTAACACCAGCAAAGCAATGAAGTTGTCATCTCAGCTCTTGCTAAACTTCATGTAATAAGGCTCATTACTGTCTGAAAATTTTTTGATTTAACCTATAGGAATTACACCTTTTTAAAGAGAAATTTCACTTATACAGAACAATAAAGACAAGTGATGCAAATGAAGAATGTAATGCATTTTGATGGAATGCCAGTTTTTTGCAGAAAGGATAATGTAATTATTGATACCTCTTAGTAATTTATGGAAATGTAAATTTAGTTTTAGTCATAATAGTACATGAGAAAACAAAGCAATTCTGCCCAGCTGACCAAAGTAAAGCAATTTGCAGCTTTTAAATACCAAGCAATAATGCAATCTGAAGAGGTTTAAAACTCAGTTCTCCAAATCCAAGATTATTTTCCCACATAAGCACTATTATACATTAAAGATTCTGTGGTAAAATAAATCCTTTTCTGCAAACATAAACTTGAAAGACATTTGAAGATGTAAGAATTCCTCTCCTCCAAAATTTTAGAGCAATTTTATTGAAATGGACATATCCTACCAAACAGAATTGAGGTTTTCTTTTTCCAGTTCTAAAAATATTGAGAAAATAATTTTTCAAATATTTAGGAGCACCATTTACAGTCCAGTCCAGGTATGGTTTCTGAAATACATAGTAGTACCATCTGATGTGGCAGCCACAAGCCACATGTGGCTATTTAAATGTGCATAATTAAAATTAGTATTTGAAAGTTAATTCCTTAGTAATACCAGCCATATTATAAGTACTCAATAGCCACATTTGGCTATAGGCTACTATCTTAGTCTATTTCGTGTTGCTATAAAGGAATACTTGAAGCTGTGTAATTTATAAAGAAAAGAGGTTTATTTAGCTAACAGTTCTCATCAGCTCAGCTTCTGGTGAGGGCTGCACCAAAATATGGCAGAGAAGGTCAAAGGGGAAGCTGGCATGTGGTGAGAGGGACCCATCCCAAAGATATCTTGGCTTTATAACAACTCATTCTCACAGGAACTAATCCATTCCCCAGAGAACCAATCAAGTCTTTGAGAAGAACTCAATTACTACTGCTAGAATAGCACCAAGCCGTTCCTGAGGGATCCACCCCCATGATCCAGACAGCCTACCTTATGCCCCACTTTCCTGCAATATCACACTGGGGATAAAATTTCAACATGAGATTTGGTAGAAACAAACAAACCATATCCAAATCAAAGCAGGTATATATTAGACAGCATAGACACTGAACATTTTCATTATTGCAAAAGTTCCATTGCACAACACTGGATAGACCACATTGTCACCAATTTCCCATTATATAGTTTTCTATTATTTTCAAGTATCTCCCGCTCCTGCCAAAAAAGTATTGCTTATATCCTAAGACTGTGATTTTTTTCCCCTACTGAATAATCTTCAAATTTAAAAAGTCAGTATTTGAAATGATTAGATGATGGTATAAGCAAGTTAGGGTTTATAAAAATTTTATTAAACCTCAAAAAGAAATGCCAAAATATGTACAGTTGACACTTTAAAAAGAGAATGATAAAGACAGTCCTTAAGTTCTCCATGTCCATAGTCCATAATCCAAGATAACCACACTGAAACAGCCAAAAATAGCATATGATTTGTGATATTATTTTTCATATGTCAATTTTGAAAATAATTTTTGTATTGTACAACCATACCTTGAAAAGAGCATAGAACACAAAAAAATCAAACTGATATATAAATGAGTGATTATGTTGTGATTATTACTTTAACCGAATTTCAGAATTAATCAGCATTTACTTCTGTGTTCAGATTGAGAGAAGTGAGAAAAAACAGAGAGGTATTCTATTGATTTATTTTGTTGACTCTTTTTACTGAAGTAGGTACAGATAAATATCTTTACTTTGTAAGTATGTAGTGTTGTCAAGGAAATGTTAAGACTTGAGTATACTAAAATTGAGTACATAAAGAGAGACTTTGATTTGGGGCAGAGCATGAGGAAAAATAAAGATCATACACGCTGATTGCTGGAAAAATACTCATAGGATTGCATATCATGACTTAAAATTATTTTTTCATATTGGTAGGTGGGTAACATTTGTAGATGTTTTCTGGGGGTTAATATTATTGAGATTTTTCTCTGTGCCTATTTACTAAAACGGTGACTTGTAGAGAAATAGCATATAACCAATACATTAGTTGAATTATGTTTTCATAAAATGTAATATTATTTTTTATATGTGTAATTTGAATAAGTTTCTTAGTCTTGAAATGGTTTGAAAGAATTACGTTTTGCTTGTAAAAACCATGTTGGATTTTTATGAGCAGCTTTAAGATTTGTCTGGCTTTATCCTCTAGTGTCGTTTTAATTTCATTTATTTTTTTTTCTTTATGCAATTGTAGGTACCTAGTAAGTCATTTATAAAAACTGCTACCAGGAGGAAGGAATGCCTTTATTAGGTTTTTATACTATGAGCTTTAGTGCTTTAAGTAAACTATATTTTTAACTGTAAGTTTATCTTTAATTAACTTATAATTTTTCTAAAAAATCAAAAGTAAAATGGAACATTTATGTTTTTTTCAGATATGCATGTTGTTTGAGTTGTGATTGTTTACAATGGTTTTAATATCTCTTTTGAATTACAGAGTTTAATAGAAGTAGTTTTTTCCCTCACAAGACTTCTTATTTGACTCTGTTAACATCACATCACAAGACTTTTTTTTTTTTTTGAGACAGAGTTTCACTCTTGTTGCCCAGGCTAGAGTGCAGTGGCATGATCTCAGCTCACTGCAACCTCTGTCTCCCAGGTTCAAGCAATTCTCCTGCCTCAGCCTCCTGAGTAGCTGGGACTATAAGCACCTAGCACCATGCAGGTCAGTTTTTTTGTATTTTTAGTAGAGAGAGGGTTTCACCATGTTGGCCAGGCTGGTCTTGAACTCTTGACCTCAGGTGATCCACCTGCCTCAGCCTCCCAAAGTGCTGGGATTACACTTAGCCACTGTGCCCAGCCTATGACTTTTTTTTGTATTGATTAAAGTTGAGTGCTTAATGTTAGGCAACTAGGTCCTTGAAAGCAGTTTTTTTGAATACAGAGAGTAATGTGTTTTATGTACGTAGCCACCTTCTTCTTTTTTTTTTTTTTTTTTTTAGACAGGGTTACACCTTTACCCAAGATAGAATGTAGTAGTATGATCACAGCTCACTGTAGCCGTGACCTCCCTGAGCTCAGGTCATCCTCCTACTTGAGCTTCATGAGTAGCTGGGTGGGACTACAGTCATATCCCACCATGCCTTGACAATTTTTCTATTTTTTGTAGAGATAAGGTTTCACCATATTGCCCAAGCTGGTTTTGAACTCATGGGCTCAAGCAGTCTGCTTGCCTCAGCCTCCCAAAGTGTTGATATTACAGCCATGAACCACGTTCCCAGCCTATGTAGCTACCTTCTGATCTGATTTTAACCCTGAAATTCCACTTCTCTTACTTCCCATGTGCCCTACTTATAGATACCTGCCAAATTCTGCTGGCTGTTCTGTTTATTCTTCATATTCCCTTGGTGAACTAGCCCACAGACTTAGCTTGAACTATATTTTTATATAACATATTTTAAAATCGTGGACTATCCTAAATTTCTACCTGCTGGTGGGAAGCATCTTCATTTGAATGGCCTGTGGTAACACTGGTCTGCCTAGTTCTAAACATATGTTCATCCTAGGGTTTTGGTGATTATAAACAAAAACATGACCTGCCATACTATAATAAATAATGACCTATAAATAAACTCCAGTCCTTTTTTGCTTATTTCTGTCATACTAATTATATGATTCCTGATACTCTAGGTTAATTTAAATATGACTTCTGGCATCAAGAAAGACACAAATTTTAAACAGACTTTTTGGTTTCTGAAATTTCTTAAGTATGCTTCAGCTGTTTGCTAATTCTGTTTTCCTATTGCAGGTTTCACAACAGTGATGTCACAAGATTGACCTCCTGATCACAGTAAGATCAAAATGATAGTTAACCTTTTAAGGAAGTTTCATTTTCTCTGAGAATGAGAATTGACTTAGAAAACATTTGTAGCTTAAAATTATTATTTCTTTTGCCAGCCAATTGAATGTTAACATTTTAAATTAGTTGTATCATATTTCTATGTAGTTATTTAAATATCTTTGAAATTTTGCTCTACAGGATTTAAAAAATATTTAAAATGAAAATTACTTTTAATTTATAACTGCAATTATAGGCCTAAATATACTAAATTATTTCAGTGTGAGTTATACTCTGAACATCATCTTTTCTTTAGTTTTTATTTTTACCAGAAAATGGCAGAAAGTTTAAGGAGATTCCACATTAGGAAAAAATACCTAAAAGTAAATTACTTTACATTGTAATGAATTATTAAGGAAAGATTATGAAAATATAGCCTTGGTAGGCCGGGCGTGGGGGCTCATTCCTGTAATCCCAGCACTTTGGAAGCCCAGGCAGGTGGATCGCCTGAGATCAGGAGTTCGAGACCAGCCTGGCCAGCACGGCGAAACCCCATCTTTACTAAAAATACAAAAATTAGCTGGGCATGATGACATGTGCCTGTAATCCCAGCTACTCGGGAAGCTGAGGCAGGAGAATTACTTGAACCTAGGAGGCAGAGATTGCAGTGAGCCGAGATCATGCCACTGTGCTCCAGCCTGGGCAACAGAGAGAGACTCCATCTCAAAAAAAAAAAAAAAAAAATATGTATAGAGAGAGAGAGAGAGAGAGAGAGAGAGCGTCTTGGTAGAGTTTTTAGGCATCTTGCTTAAATTTTTTATTGATATTTATAGGATTTGTAAATAGTCTTCCAGATATGGAGAGTTTTTTGATAAAGGATGGTTCTCTTAAGTAATCGATACTTTTTAGTTTTATCTAAAGTGTTAATTTCCATTGTATGTAAGGAAATACATTACCTAAAGAAAAACTTTGCCAGGGCCTTAGAAAATTCTAAGTGGTAAAATCTGAATTTCAATCATGAGCTTTATATCATTTTTGCAAAATTCTCTTAAATAACAGATAAATTTCTAGTAAATATTTATTCCATGAACCTGCTTCTTCTTTGTTTTAATTTTTATTTTAACTCACTAAATCCAGAAGCATTAATTATTAGAAGTGTAAATTCACATAGAATGTTTGTATTTATGTTCATTTTTGTTTTTTTTTGAAAACTGGTTCATTTGTTAAGTTTAACATTTTGCTGAGACTAGAGAGAAGTTTTATTGCATTTTTAAAGGCATTATCATCATAATTTTGTCTACTTATGCTTATAGCATATTTATTCATTTTCCTAAGGGGACATTTTAACTTTCTTTGATTTGTAGCTCTTTCCTTATTTGTTTTTCTTAATCAGAATGTTGCCCTAACTGAATATTTTACAATAAAATATTGATATATTTCTCTAGAAACCTTCCAATCAGCATCTAGTGCTTTACAATCAAGGAAGTTAACATTAGCACTAAATGAATTTTCTTTTTTAATTTAAAAATGCTCACTCCTACAGCTTATTTTTATTTAAAAAAATTTTCCCACAGTTTATTTTTAGGGTAATATTAAGAGAGTAATTCATTGCAACTGATATAAATCCAACAATTTCAGGACGAGAGGTAATAGTTAATATTATTGTATTTTAAATAAGTTAAAGAGTAAGAAGTGTTCATGTGAGAGGTTTATAAGTGACTGATATTAGAAACCTTAACTTTGGTCCGTGAGTGTCAAAAATTCGTCTGAAAGTGTGGTGTCCTCTCGTCCTCTGCGCTTTCACTGGGAGCTACAGTCCCGAGCTGTTAGCAATCAGCCATCTTGGACTTCTTGGAAAGAGTCCCAGTGGAGGGGCCCCACAGGTCGCCAGCGCAACTCTTGTGGGCAGTGCAGCAGTTTTGCCTGTGCCTCGGTGCAGCAACTCTTCGTGCAGAGTAAACAGGAGGAGATTCCCGGGCAGAAGAGCACCATCAGTCTTATCACTGCTGTTTTGGCCAGTGCAGTGGGTTGCCTGGATTCCAGCAGTGGGAATCAATAAACTGGGCATCCACTCAGAAACCCAACTAGAAAGGTGGTAATTGTAAAGATGACGGATAAATTTATAACAAAGAGAAGAAACCAGCCTAAAGTGGCTGAGAATACCCAAAATCAGAACCCTTCACCCTCTACAGGGGATTACAGTTACTCATCAGCAACGGAACAAGCCCTGATGGAAAAGGACTGTGTGCCATTAACAGAAGTAGGCTTCAGAAGGTGGATGATAAGAAACTTCTGGGAGTTAAAAGAATTTGTTCTAACCCAATGTAAAGAAACTAAGAACTTTGAAAAAAGGTTTGACGAAATGCTAACAAGAATGGACAATATAGAGAGGAATATAAATGAACTAATGGAGTTGAAAAACACAACACAAAAACTTAGCAAAATATGCACAAGTTTGAATAGCCAAATTGATCAAGCAGAAGAAAGGATATCAGAGGTCGAAGACCTACTTAATGAAATAACACGAGAAGACAAGAATAGAGAAGAAAGGATAAAAAAGGAATGAGCAAAGTCTCCAAGAAATATGGGACTATGTGAAAAGACCTAATTTCCATTTGATAGGTGTACCTGAATACGACGAAGAGAATGAATCCAAGCTGGAAAATACTCTTCAGGATATTATTCAGGAAAACTTTCCGAATCTAGCAAAGCAGGACAATATTCAACCCCAGGTAATACAGAGAACACCAGAAAGATATTGCTCAAGAAGAGCAACCCCAAGGCACGTAATCATTAGATTCACCAGGGTTGAAACGAAGGAGAAAATACTAAGGGCAGTCAGAGAGAAAGGTCAGGTTACCCACAAGGGGAAGCCTATCAGACTTACAGCAGATCTTTCAGCAGAAACCCTCCAAGCCAGAAGAGAGTGGGGGCCGATATTCAACATCCTTAAAGAACAGAACTTTCAGCCCAGAATTTCATATCCTGCCAAACTAAGCTTCACAATTGAAGGAAAAATAAAATCTTTTATGAACAAGCAAGTACTCAGAGATTTTATTACCACCAGGCCAGCTTTACAAGAGCTTCTGAAAGAAACATTATACATAGAAGGGAACAACCAGTATTAGCCTTTCTAAAAATTTACCATAAAGTAAAGAGCATCAGCATAAAGAAGAATTTACATCAACGAATGGATAAAATAGCCAGTTAACATCAAATGGCAGTAACCCTAAATTTAAGTTGACTAAATCCCCCAGTCAAAAGATACAGCCAAAACCCAACAGTATGCTACATCCAGACCCATTTCACATCCAAAGATACACAAAGACTTAAAACAAAGGGTTGGAGAAAGATCTACCAACCAAATGGAGAGCAAAAATAAATAAATAAGTAAAAAGCAGGAGTTGCAATTCTTACATCTGATGAAATGGATTTCAAAGCAACAAAGATGTAGTGGTAAAAGGATCAATGCAACAATGAGAGCTAACGATCCTAACACCCAGATACATAAGACTCATAAAGAGATTTAGACTCAACAAGACAGAAAATGAATAAGGATATGCAGGACTTGAACACAGATCTGGAACAAGTAAACTCAATAAATACTTGTAGAGCTCTCCATTTTTAAATACACAAAATATACATTCTCCACCTTAAATACACAAAATATTGATCGGCCATTATTAATACCCATTTTTAGAATAAACCTACATTCCCGTTCTCTTTCCCTCTTTTGCTTCCTCTTTCTTCCTCTCCTTTACTCCTTCTTTTTTTTTCTTTCTTTATTAAAAAAAAAAAAAAAAAAAAAAAAAAAAAAGAAACCTTAACTTTGTTATGTCAGTGTTGTGAGGCTTTTGCCAGCCCTTTGAGTTAAGAAAAGAGGGTAGATTTCAACATAGATTCAGGTTGAGAGTGCTAGTGAGAGAGTAGTTCAAATATGTGTTTACCATGTGGCTGGAATAAAATGAGGCCAGGAAAGGGCTGCTTTATTCAAAGGAAATAGATCAGGAGACTAGTCATTGATACATAAACTGGTATAATGAGATGACCTAGTAAGAATAAAGGTAAAATGTTATGTTTAGAGAGGGAGATTATATTATGGATTGTTTAGGGGATAAAGTGTAGTAGCTATTTATATATTATGTAATATAAGCTTATATATGTGTTTTAATCAAAATTTTCAGAAGTCAGGAGAATTTCTATTTTTTTCTTTGATGTCACAATCCATAGAAATGTCAAAGCCTTTTAACTGATCTTCCTTCTTCCGGGCCATTATCAATTTCGTTGACAATCCCCAGTTTAATCTGATTACTGTATTGCTCTGTTTCTTTTATTTCTCTACTTAAAAGCATGTGGTGGCTTCTCATTTCCTATGTGATCAAATCCAGACCTTCTAACTTGGTGTTTAAGACCCTTCCTCAGTTTGTCTTCAGCATATTTTCCTTTTCTTTTTTTTTTTTTTTTCTGTGAGACACAGTCTTACTCTGTCCCTCAGGCTGGAGTGCAGTGGTGCAATCTCTGCTCACTGCAACCTCTGCCTCCCAGGTTTGGGTGATTCTCCTGCCTTAGCCTCTTGAGTAGCTGGATTACAGGCACATGCCACCACCCAGCTAATTTTTGTATTTTTAGTAGAGACAGGGTTTTACCATGTTGGCTTGGCTGGTCTTGAACTCCTGACCTCAAGTGATCTACCTACCTTGGCCACCCAAATTGCTAGGATTACAGGCATGAGCCACTGTGCCTGGCATGTCTTCAGTATATTTTTTATTATTCAAGAGTAAGAACCGTACACTCTACCTAATGTGGACTATTAGTATTTCCTACCTTGGATATATGTTTTGGTTCCACACTTACATGTTATTCCCTTTACCTAGAATATTGTTTTTCTTTTCACACGTAAAAAAAAATTCTGGTGAAATCAAATTTTCTCTCTAATATTGTATCAACATATAATCATCTCCCTGAGGTTTTCCATAATCATCCTAGTTCTCTGTTCCTAATACTTTGGTGAT